TTGAAAACTTTTCAAAATCATCCGCCAAAACTGTCTCTTCAACAACCATAATGACTTACCGTTTCATTTCTGATCGAACGCCTAATCTTCCCCCCTACGGGATGTTGCCACGTGTACGTCCACGATCCACTGTCCCCTCCCCTTACCTTGTCTTTTCCACTTCAACTCACCACGTGGCCTGCCGCGTCTCGAGCCCCACGCCCCTCCACCTCACCCTCCCCACGGTCGGCCTTTCCCGCGGTCAGCCTTCCCGCTCGACCAACCTCGCGGTCGGCCCTCCCCTCGGTCAGCCCTCCGGTCGGCCCTCCTCACGATCGGCCTCCCAGTCGGTCCACATCGCGGTCGGCCCTCATCGCGGTCAGCCCCCCCTTCTTCCCGGTCGACCTCCATCCTGCCAATCCTTAACACACTCATCTATGTCACTCATAATCCCTTCATTGGTCTAAAGCTGCACTCGGGACTGGGGGACTACTGATGTGTATAAGCCCATAAAGGCCATGAACCACCCACGGCCCATCACTTGAAGCACAGTGTATAACCCAACTGACGAGGCCCAGGACAGCTGGAGTCCAACATGACACAAAGAGCCAATGACATTCAGACACACGGTAAGAGAAGGATGAACCACATCAGCAGACAAAGATCTGCAAAGTTACTGACACTACACATCACCATTAATGCAGCCCATCACAGCATTTATTACGACAACACCTCTCCGCCGGAACAGGACCCCCTTACCCTGAGCAAGGCGAGCTACAACATAGGCTTTCGGTAAGGAAAGCAGGTCGGAAGGGATAGCGAAATGATTGCCAAAGGATATAAGCGAACGTTGTAGACAAGGAAAAAGGTTAAGCTTTCCATCTCTAATTTTCTCCCAGTTACTCCACTTCTCTTCCTAACTTGATCGTCGGAGGGTTCACTGGGGGACTACCCCGTTCCCCGTTGAACTTGTTTGCAGGATATCCGGTGGGCTCGATCTTCTGAGCTTGGCCTTGGGGAGCTTGGACCAGTTTGATCCATCCACTGGGACGAACGGTATCAACACTATATATATTGTATAAAATTACATATACATTCACTTATATAGTAATTAGAATTCATTTCATACCTTCATCTGGACAACTCATTCATAAAAACTAGATAATTTATTAAAAGTTTTCCATATTTGTCAACTTTATTTTTGACTATTTTAATTAAAAAGTCAAAAAAAATTAATTAATTAAAAGACAAAGACACTAAAAAAAAGTCAAACATCTCAATAATTTATAATTTTCAATTCAATTAAAAAAATCATTTCAAAGCATATTAATTTTTTTTTCATTTCATAAAAATAAAAAATAAAAAATCCACTAACAAACCAATTCCCAAACAAAGCCTTAGTACGTTACCTAATGATGGAATTGGAACCCATTTCACATGGTCCTGTCAAATCTGAAAAATTCAGCCCACTAGTCCACCTCCGAGGTAACGAGTACATACGGTAGTGGAAAAAGTCTAAACATCTCAAAATTTACTTAGAATAGATATGTGAAAATTAAATTGAAGCTTTCATCATTTTTTTATCATGCTAGTGACAAACAAAATATATTTATGTAAATTTTTGTGTCTACATTTTAATATTGAAATAACGATATCAATATATTATTATTTTATTTATTTATTTAGTTTTGTGCTATTTGAAAAGTTTAAAAAAATTAAAATTTTGAATATCTACCCTCAAAAAAAATTCCTAACTTACCCACCATGATTACCCTAAAAAATTCCTAAAGTCACCACAAATTTTGAGACAGGTTAGATCAGTCCCGTTTTGTAGCTCGAAAAAGCTGAGGCTTGAAACGGCTCGAATCGCAAAACGACGTCGTTTTGCTTCTTTCTTTTTTTTTTTCTTCTTCTCTCTATTTTGAAACAGAGAGAGGATGAAGAAGAAAAAACAAGAAGAAGAAAGAAGGAAGAAGAAGAAGAAGAAGAAGAGGAAGGGACACACAACATCATCATCATCATCAAACACAACACACAGATCTACCACAACAAACCAAACAAATCAAAATTAAACACAGATTTTCAAAATCAAACACAAATCTACACAACATCATCATCATCAAACACAGATTTTCAAAATCAAAATAAAAAAAAAAAAACCATCCATCACAGATCTCACATAGTCCATCATCGTCTCGCACCGTCGTCGTCCATCACCGTCACCATCGCCTTCGTTGCATCGTCGTCATCGCCTTCGCCTATCACCATCTCTCTCCCTCTCTCTCTGTGTTCGCCATCGCCTTCTCTCGCTTTCTCCCACTCTCTCTCTTTTCCTCCCTCCTTCCCCGTTTCAGATACAAAAGAGAAAGAAGAAGAAGACAAAAAAAAAAAAAAAAAAAAAGCAAAACGAGGGCCAATCAAGCCTTACACATTTCGAGCTACCAGCTATTTTTCTAAAAATTAATGTACCAACATTTTTCCTATTCAATATAGAACAGTTTGGTCAATACAGCACCAAATAGGGCTTTAAACTAAGGCTTGATTTGGGATACCAAAAAAAAGTTAAAAAGTTACTCAAAAAATTAAAAAGTTATCACTATTTATCAAAAAAAAATATTAAAAAATTAATTTTACACAAAATAAATTTTCAAACAACTCTGACGTCCCCACAGACAGAGCTGACTTTTTGAAAAAATTACACAGGCGGGATGCACAAATAACACGGTACCGTTCGGCTTGTGGGGGCCATCACAGATTCCGTTTTAATAATCTGAGCTGTTTAATGTGTAGAACTCGTCGAGTACTATATGTCTAATAAAAAATCACGTTGATCGGATATCGCTAACTATATGATCAAATCAGTTTTGTATAAAAAATGGATGGTGTTATAGTTAACGGTTGAAAAAAAAAACTAATCCGATCAGATAGCTATCGATATCCGACCAACGTGATTTTTTATAATTATATAGTACTCGACGAGTTCTACACATTGAATAGTTTTAATTAGCAAAACGAGACCCGTGGTGGACCCCAACAAGCCAAATAGCACTTTCAATTCAATGCCCGAAAAGCAAGAAACCATCTCCAAGCCTATACTCTGCACATGCTGTCCCTTAATTCATCCCACCGTACAACCTATTTCATCCCAATTTTCTTCTATACAATAATTTATACAATTTTTGATACATATTTTTTTGTAAAAAGTCAAAAAGTTATTCCAAACAACCATATTTGTTTCCTCAACTTTTTAGTCCAAAAATTTAAAAAGAACACTTATTCACGACACCCTCCTAAATTTGTAATCTTTGTTTTATAATTAACCTCAGTAGACTATAATTATTTATAATCAACTCGGCTCAACTAAGCTCGCAAACATAAAAGCATACATATTATTTTTACTTATTTATTTTTGTTGAGGGCACCATATATGTACCAACTCACAGATTTGATTGGTAACAAATTGAGGATTCTTTTCTATGAAGGATTAATATTTTGAAAAATATGTTGTACTCGTATGAGGTATTTATCAGTATATAATACCTCATATGATACTATCACATATATACCGAATACACAAAACACGTATCTAAATTTTTTTCTTCTTAATCTTTGACGTACCTAGACGTTTCTAGTATATATTCAAGCTGTACCGTAACTCAGTTGAAACAATATTTTCTTTTACTACAGAGACAACTCCTTTCACTCACTGGACTTCTTTTTTATTTTTTGTTTTATGCTTATCATGATTATAAAATTAAACTATAATTTGTAAGTTATTTAATATATTAACATATAATTTTGATTTATATATTTACTTTTGGTATTAAATGTTAATTGTAGGTTGAACCTTAACAAATTAAATCATTTAATTAATTTTTGTATTATTCTAAATTAAAAATATATATATATTTCTTTACAAGTACCCTATTTTTTTTATTTTTTTTTTTTTTTTGAATTTTACCGTATCGACGTACCGCATCGTACCACCACTAGTACTCGTACCCATACTTCATAGATTCTTTTACATTTTAACTCTCTTTTATCTCTTGGCATGCATGATAATCTAAATTTTTTTTCTTTTTGAACTCCAACTCAGATATATACACCTCAACCTGTGAAGCATGGGTACTCTAAAAATGTTGTCGTACTCGTACTAGGTACTTACTAGGTACTAGTACTCGTACCGATAGGGCTGCATGCGTATTAGGTACTTGACATACGTACTGAGTACTTTTTATACATTTTTTGGTAGTAAGGTTACTTCATGAGTACATCGGGAATACACTAAGTTATAGGACATTAGTTGGGATACATTTCCTTTATTAGAAAATCTTTATTTATTTGAAATTGTAAATCCTTTACTTAATGTACTAAAGATAAAAGATATATTATTCAATGATGAAATTGATCGAAAGTTAAAACTAAAATTTCAAATTTTTAAATTTTGCTTAGCTTACGTTTAGAATAAAACTTTATTTTATAATTTCTCCTATTTAATGGTATTAAAATAGCTTATAGACTTTGATTTGGTATTGATATTGTTGAACTATAATTTCTCTTTTGATTTTATAATTTCTCCTTTTAGTTTTGATATTGAACTTTGATTTGTAAATTGAATCTCAAATTATAAATTATAAAAAAGAAAGAAAAAAAATTGATGTACCCTAACCGTACACATATCTTATTTTTTTTTTAGATCTTGCCCGTATGAGCACACCCACACCCACACCCACACCCACACCCACACCCGTGCTTCATAGTCTGCAAGTCCTCACCCATTTTCCCATGGATGGCCTTCTTAATTAAGTCATCCAGTAACAGCTTCCTTGACAGTGCTTTGAATTATTGTATTTTCAGAACATTAACTTTTTCAGATATTGGAGTTGGTTGGATAGGTAAGTAGTCAACAGCTAAAAGCAAATACTTATTAAAATGCAATGACTAAAGGTGCTTTAAAAATGCACATGCCACTGGAGCAGCAGAATATTCCGCTTAATTAAAAATGGGCAATTTCAAGTTCGTGAACAATTTCAAGGGGGTGTCTGTGAACAATTTCAAGTTCTTTATTAACACTGTATCAAAACCACAAATTCAATGGCAATTCAAAGCAAAACTTATGAAACTAGAATGGATAAGAACCTGGCATTGTTGACACGAGCATTTTAGCTGGCTGCAATTACCTGCAGAGCTGCTCGACTGCAGTAACAATCTGGGCCGGCTGAACCACAGTCCATTCCTCCAAAGTCCCGGCATATGGTGTCGGCACGTCCTGTGATGACAAACATACAACCGGCGCGTCCAAATAATCGTGGAAATTCTCATTAATAGCTGCTGTCAAGCTAGCCCCAATTCCACCTGTCCGCATACACTCTTCAACAATCAGCACACGATGCGTCTTTTTCACTGAATTCCCAATTGTGTATAGATCGAACGGTTTCAGTGACCTGATATCAATAACTTCAGGATCGTAACCCTTGTTCACCAATGTCTTTGCAGCCTGCATCACGTGATACCTCATTCTGGAGTAAGTTAGGATAGTAACATGCTCCCCGGGCCTAACCATCTCTGCTTCCTCAAGATTCAACACGTACTCTTCATCGGGAATTCTCTCCTTGAGATTATAAAGCAAAACATGCTCGAAAAGTATCACTGGGTTCTCACTTCGAATGGCAGCTTTCATTAAGCCCTTGGCATTGTATGGGGTTGAGCATGCCACCATTTGGATTCCGGGAATTGATTGAAAATAAGACTCGAGGCGTTGTGAGTGCTCGGCCCCTAGTTGCCGACCGACTCCGCCGGGTCCACGGATAACCACCGGGATTGTGAACTGGCCACCCGATGTGTAGTGGAGCATTCCACAGTTGTTGGATATCTGGTTGAAAGCTAGAAGGAGAAATCCCATGTTCATTCCCTCAACAATTGGTCGAAGGCCAGTCATGGCAGCTCCAATGGCCATGCCTGTGAAAGAGTTCTCAGCAATGGGGGTGTCGAGAACCCTGAGATCACCGTATTTATTGGCCAAGTCTTTTGTAACCTTGTATGACCCTCCATAATGACCCACATCTTCACCCATTACGCACACACGTGGATCTCTCTCCATTTCTTCCTCCAGGCCTTCACGAAGAGCTTCAAAAAGTAAAAGCTCATGCCTGAGGATGGAGGTTTAATTTATCAACTGTATCCTTGACTAACAAATCATAGCAATAACAAATATTAATGCAGAAAGATGGGTTGTAGTTCAATGCCATTAATTGGCTCCGTTAAACCATGTGCATGTAATTAAGCAAATACAATTTTGTACATATTATTATGCACAAAAATTATGACTGCACATTATTCTAAAAGAACATGTACCCCAACAAAACGCCATGAAGAAGCACAACAATGTCATTTCAAAACATAAATAGTAAATCACAGGAAATAAACACCTCACACTCTACATTTAAATAAACAGAATCATTTTAATAGCTTGCATGAATTATAATGTTTCATACCATGAAGCACGGATACTTCTGCAAAGGATCATATTTGTATTCGGATACTGATGCTCCTTGAATACTCATGGATAGCATCTGATACTTCCTAAATGTTCCATGATTTGAAAGTAACTTTCTTTAATTTTGAAAAGTATTGGTATCATTTGTTCATCATGGTATGAAGAACCATATTTTCTCTATTTCTGTTTTCTCAATCTTGCATGAATATGACTTAGTGCTATTCTTGGTATCATCTGTACTTGTTAGGCAAGTAGATTTTAAACAGATTGCATAGGAGCCACTGAGATTGGTTGCGGTAGGCTGCAAAGTCGCTTTCCTATTCCTTAATGAACAAATGAATTTTGTTGTTTCCTCTTCCTCATCTTTTATCTCTTTCTTTTCACTAGATAATAAGATATGTCGAGATATCTCATTTTGGCATTAAAACTTAGAAGCATGGTGTTAGGCAATACAAGATACACTTGTGAATAATCTATGTGTCAAGATATCTTATTTAGTTAGAGAGTTTGGAATCTATGGTATTGACAATACACCTATGACAATTTTGTATATCACTTCTTTTTGCATAATTACAGTTCCTTAAATAACAAAAGTTAATCAGATACATTGTTAAATCTGCCCAAACCAAGGTATTAAAAAGTAGCCGCAATCGTTATGTAATGGCGTTACGTAACGGTTGTAGTGGTTATCGCCACCCGTTACAGCCGCTTTTGCAGTGTGATTGAGATTCATAGGTGTGTATGCCGTAGCGGCTGTAATGGTGCCGTAACGGCCTGTTATGCACCGTTACGTAACGGTTCCGAACTGCTTCTTTCGAAAAAAACGGTTCCGAACTACTTCTAAAAAAAAAAAAAAAAAAAAAACTGAAAATGGAAGAAGAGGGATAAAGAGAAGGGGGAAGATAAAGAGAGAAGATGGAGGAGCAAGAGATAGAGAGAGAGAGAATAGGGAAGATGAAGAACATGTTATTGATTTGTTGAAATAGTAAGACCTATGCTATTCTATTCAGCTGTTATCACTCAACCATTTTGTTTGTGTGTGTCTATCTATATATTGTTTGATAGAATAGGGAAGATGAAGAACATGTTATTGATTTGTTGAAATGGTAAGACCTATGCTATTCTATTCAGCTGTTATCACTCAACCATTTTGTTTGTGTGTGTCTATCTATATCTTGTTTGATAATAATAATAATAATAATGGTCATTATCTATTTGGCTTGGTTAAAATATGTATATATATATATATATATATATATTTAAGCTCTTATTTATTCTTTTACTTTTGTTATTGTTTATTTTGTATATAATAATTAGTGATTATTTTTTGTATAATATAAAGTCATTTATTAAAATAAAATGTAAAAAACTCAGTTTATAGTGATTTAAAAATATGAAATATATTGGATCATACTTAAAAATTTATAAAGTTTGATCAATATTTATTTTAAACCGAATAAATATGATCATGGAAAAAAAAATATGCGTATTGGTAAGTTTTTTTTCAAATTGTGCGAAAAATAAAAAAATTCATGGTTCCGGTTACCGCAACCGTTACGCTACAGTCTTTACACCCCGCAACCGCAACCGCGCCACCGCCACCGTTACGGTGACCGCAACCGCTTTTCAGAACCTTGGCCCAAACAGATCCAAATTTAGGCTTAGATTGGTGTAATCTGCGTGTTGTTCTTGTTGGTTCTAATTTCTATGTTCAAACAAAAAAAAAAAATCTATGGAACCTATGAAGCACATAAACGGATATGGGTATGGTGATACAACAAAAATTTTAAATCCATGATACGGGTACAACTACGATTCATTCATAAACAAAACTAAGATATGAATAAAATTAGTATGCATAATATACAAGCTCAACAAATGGTTCACCATTTTTTCAAAGTAAAGTATTAATTTTTAAAGTTTCAATAGGTCTTATAAAAAATTCAGTTCAATATCAATCTAAACTGTTTATATTGCCCACTTTGTTTTTCCTTTCACACTTAAAACTCCATGCTAGAAGTATCCATGCTTCATTGTAAACGTTCAACAATGAACAAAAAAAATCAATTGCATAGACAAGAAACATAGGAACCCATTATTTGTAGATGAAGTATATGTATCTTACAATGAGAGGAATAATAAATAGATGTAAAAATGTAAGATAAACACGACGAGAATTGATCAAAAGTTGCATATGCACAAAAGAAATTGAGCTTACCCAGGTTTAGACCCAGTAGAAGCTGTCGAACTATCAGCCTTCGTCTGCAAAACACAAACAAAACTACAATTTAGTTCCAACAAACAACATCAGTGTGTGGAGAGAGAGAGAGAGAGAGAGAGAGGATTAACTGCAACTGCCTTGGTAATCAATTGTTCAGCTCTGGGATTTGGACCAGAGTTCGACCTCCCATCAGATCTTACCACCAAAAACCTTGCTTTTCTCTCTAAAACAAACAAAATTCAAACGATTAACAACCAAATGAACACACAATTGAAGCAAATTCATTCAAATACGAATCAAATCAAGTCACAATTGAATCAAACAACACAAAAATTCCACCGAACCTGACGAAATCGATGTGCGAGACGAGAAGTGAAATTTTTTGGAATCCAATGAATTGGCCGATGAAATAGCTGTTGCAGCTCCGATTCCTTGGAAAACCACAGCCATTCTGATTCAAAAAAGAGCTGCGATTTCAACAGAGAGAGAGAGAGAGAGAGTTGAGGAGAGAGATGAAAAATTGAGAGGCACTTTATATGGAGATTTTGGAGAGAGAAAGTGTTTTTAGAGAGAGAAAGTGGGCGGAGAGGTCGAGAGAGGGAGGTTGTGAGTGTTGCCGTGCTCTGTCTAGTTTTTTTTTTTTCAAGCTCTGGGGGTTTAAGTACCGCAAATATGTTATTTTAATAATTTTTTAATTTTTTTAAAAGAATATGTAAGAAAATAAAATGAGTGTTATAATAATTTATAATAATTTTTTAATTTTTTTAATTAAAATATGATATTATCAGACGAGGCTTTAATTGAAAAATATCACTAGCTATTTGAAAAACAAAAATGCTTTAGAGCTCTAATATAAGAGCTTTAATAGTTCTAATGGGAAGGTGGGACCCACCCTGATGTGATATTTGTGCCTTGTTTTATTTTTTATTTTTTATTTTTTTGCTTTGACACATCACTAGAGCTCAAATTAGAGCTCTAGATTTAGAGCTCTCTAGCATTTCCCTTTGAAAAATAGGGTGTTCCGTCCAAAAGTCTAAATTACTATTTTATTTGATTAAAAGTTCACAAATTAAAATGAATGATATTATTAGTATTTCATCAATTATTTTAGACCTTCTATTTTTTTGGATCCTTACTTATAAATTTTAAAACCCTTAAAATTAATTTTCTCTCCCTAAATAATATCAAAATTATCCCTATGAAAATATTTTATAGTGAGAAAATAAATATAAGGTTTTTAATCTTTAATCCTTAGAATATATCAGCATGAAATTGGATTGGGATTTTTATACATGAGAAAGAAGAAAAAGAGCCAAGTGTAATTACTATCAATTGCTTAACGAGACTTGCTTGGGTTGTGATATCTGCCGCCTCATTCTTTTCTTCGATTTGACCATTGTGAGAGTTGATTATATGTTCTTAAATAAACAAGAAATGTTTAGTTATCTGTTCCCGAACAAATAAACAATGTTCGGAACTGTGTTCCCGAATTTCAGTCATATGTTTATAAGTTCAGTCTCGAAAAAATGATGAATAGTTTTTATTATTTTTTTCAAGAAACTTATCCTTACAAAGTTAATCTCCTCTGAGCTAAGAATATCATCAAAGTTATGTACCTCCTCTGAGCTTTTATTGTCGTACTCATCTCGTTTCATGGAGTTGTGATTGTCGGGAAAACTTTCATTCATTGTTATTGTTGGAGGAGTGTAAATAATCAAATGGTTGCCACCATTACCGCCGAAATATTGCCGCCAAAGGATTTTTAAGATTTTGAGGGTGGGTAGGTTTTGAATGTGGGATTTGGGAAAGATGGATGGATGGATGGTAATGGAGGTGGGTGCTCTCACAAACCCTAATTCGTGATCTAGTAGGTGCGTGGGTTTAATTGTGAGATGAGATGTCCCAAAATTATTAATATCTTTTTTTGTAATTTTATTTGAGTTTATTATTGTAATAAAAAATAAACCAAAAAATGATGGGTCCAAAATAATTGATGGAGTATTAATAGCAAAATCAAACCAAACCAAGCCTTAAGTCCCATTAAATAGGGTTGGCTACATGAATCCTTCGTCTCCACGCGGCCCTATCAAAGGCTATTTCATTAGTTAAATTAAGTAGATCCATATATCTATTTACAACGTTAGCCAACGTTAATCTAGGCCTACGCCATCCCCTAACACTCCTCTCTATCGTTACAGCATCACATCTCTTCACTACTGCCTCTGTTGGCCTCCGTTGAATGTGACCAAACCATCTCAATCGATTCTCTCTCAACTTATTTTCTATCAGTGCTACTCCTACCCATTCCCGAATACACTCATTCCTAATTCTGTCTTGTCTAGTCTTGCCGCATATCTACCTTAGCATCCTCATCTCAGCCATACTCATCTTATCTACATGTTGTTTCTTGGTTGCCCAACACTCCGTCCCATACAACATCGCTGGTCTAATAGCCATTCTATAGAACTTACCTTTTAATCTAGTGGGTATTCGTTTATCGCATAGTACCTCAGACGCACTTCTCCACTTACACCATCCCGCCTTAATCCTATGGGCCACATCCGCATCAATCTCCCCCGCTGTTGTGATAATCGACTCTAAATAACGAAAATGTTCACTCTTAGGCAATTCTTGGTTCTCAATCTCCACTTCTCTTCTGCTTTCATTGTTACTGTTACTAAATTTACACTCTATATACTTTGTCTTATTTCTACTTATCTGGAAACCTTTAGATTCAGGAGCTTTTCCCCAAATCTCCAACTTTGTATTAACTCATTCTCTAGTCTCATCTACTAGCATGATATCGTCTACAAAAAGCATACACCATGGCACATTATCTTGAATATTTCTTGTCAACTCATCCATAACTAAAGCAAAAAGATAAGGGCTTAAGGTAGATCCTTGGTGTAACCCAATAGTGACAGAAAATTCATTTGTCTCTCCAGCAAGCGATCTAATAGTGGTCACCACCCCTTCATACATGTCTCTAATCACATCAATGTAACCTTTTGTCACCATTTTCTTCTCTAACACCCACCATATTATATCTCGGGGCACTCTATCATATGCTTTCTCAAGGTCGATAAACACCATATGAATATCTCTTTTCTTTTTTCTATACTTTTCTATTACTCTCCTCAAAAGATAAATCGCTTCCATTGTTGACCTATCGGGCATAAACCCAAATTGATTCTCTGACACCTCTGTTCTATCTCGCAATTGGCATTCCATCACCTTCTCCCACACTTTCATTATATGGCACATTAGCTTGATTCCTCTATAATTGTTGCAATTCTAGGCATCTCCTTTATTCTTATATATTGGTACTAAAATACTCTTCCTCCACTTATCAAACATGTTCCTAGTCAACAAAATTTTGCTAAACAACCTAGTCAACCAAACAACCCTCTTTTTACCCAAGCATTTCCAAGCTTCAATAGGGATATCATCGGGTCCTAAAGCCTTATTTGATTTCATCTTCTTAAGTGCAATCTCCACTTCAAAGTTCTTAATCCTGCGATAAAACCTATAGTCTTGGTTTATCGTATTACTAGCCATTTCTTCCCCTATTGCTGTACCTCCATGTTCCTCATTTAATAGTTTCTCAAAATAGTTCTTTCATCTTTCCTTAATCTCTTCATCCTTCATCAATACCTTAGAATCCTCACTCTTGATGCACTTAACTTGGTTAAAATCTATTGTTTTCCTCTCCCGTATCTTAGGAAGTTTGTATACTCTCTTCTCTCTTTCTTTACTATCTAGTCTAGTGTATAGGTCATCATAAGCTTTCAACTCAGCCTCTCTCGCTACTTTTTTGACCTCCTTATTAGTCAATCTATAGCTCTTAAGATTTTCCTCAGTTCTATCCTTCTGTCACTTTTTAAAGCATTCTTTCTTTGCCTTAACTACCGCTTGAACCTCTTCCCTCCACTACCAAGTTTCCCTAGCTCTGGGTCTTGTCCCTTTCGACTCTCCAAGCACTCCCCTTGAGATTCTCTTCATACAATTGGCTATTAAGTTCCATATAGTGTTAGCATAATCTTCTAAGTCCCAAGTACCTTCCTTATCCATTCTATTCTTAAATATTTCTAGTTTATCTCCTTTTAGATCCCACTATCTCGTCCTACGACGCCCACCATCCTTCTTAGCTTGGTATTGCCCTCTAAAACATAAATCTAGTACCAAAATCCTATGTTGAGAGGTCAGGCTCTCTCCAGGAATCACCTTACAATCTTTGCATTTTAGGCGGTTCACTTTTCTCACTGAGAAGTAATCTATTTAGCTCTTAACTGACCCACTCTTAAAAGTTATCAAATGCTCCTCCATCTTCTTATACATAGCATTGGCCACCACCAGGTCAGAAGCCAATGCAAAATCTAAGATACTCTCACCAGCCTCATTTTTGTCACCAAAATCATGTCCACCATACACCCTTTCATAGCCTAGTTTATCTATGCCTACATGGCCATTAAAATTTCCACCTATAACTAGGTTCTCTCCTACGTGCATCTCCTGTAAGATCTCATCTATTTGCTCTCAAAAATCTCTCTTAGTCTGATCATCTAATCTTTTTTAAGGGGCGTATGCATTAATAACGTTCACTATATTCCCTCCAATAATTAGTTTAACTAACATAATGATCCTATCCCCTTTCCTAATGACCGCCACTACATTCTCCACTAGACCCTTGGCAATTATGATTCCTACCCCATTCATACATCTGTCCTTACCACTATAATACAGTTTAAAACCGGTATCCTCAATTTCCCTAGCTTTCTTACCCATCCACTTAGTTTCTTGTACGCAAGCTATACTAACTCTCCTCCTAATCATAACATCTACAAATTCCATCGTCTTACCTATTCAAGTAAAATGATGAAAATATCCATGTATATATATATATATATAGAGTGTATACTAAACCTCTATATATCTCTCTCTCTCTTCTTCCTTCATCTCCTATGTAATGTTTAGAAACCCAGTTCGAACCGACAGGTTGGACTAGTGATCGGACCTTGTTTCGGTTCGAAAAAACCCTCTAAACCCAGACATAGCTCAAAATCGGTATAGAATGAAAGAACCAAAAGAACTGCCAGTTCAACCGTCAAACCCAGCGACCCAGATTGGGTTTTAAGAATCAGCCTATTTTCTTTATCTTTCTTTTCCCTTCTCTGCTGCTCTGTATGCTGTCTCTTTTGCTTCACTTTTTTGCTGCTATGTTTTTTAAGCTGCTTAATGCTTATTTTTGTAGTCATTATCATGTCCAAACAAAACAAAAAACATTAAGGCAAATAAAAGTCAATGGTAAAATAGTAATATAGCACTAAATATTTTTTATAATAAATTTCTGATTTCATAGCTGTTAGTTAATGGTTTGGTGAACTAATTTTTTGATTATATATTCTGGCACTCATCTATCAAAAATAAATATATGTATATTCATCTTGTAAATATTTTAAAAATTCTATTATTTTGTTGAATTTAATTTTTTTTTCATTTTTATACTTATATTTTTAAATATATTTATGATATAATTATGACATCATGGTTTGACCGCTTCAACCAGACGGTTGAATCAGTGACCGTCCACTTGGCCTATTTTTCAGTTCGCTCATCGGTCTAG